ATAGAATGAATGTAAAACTAATGTTCTCCCATGTAAACTATCACATAATTCACAATAAAATATTTAAGGAAAAAAAAAATATTAGCCTGCTATATTTAGTCAAACATTTAATTAACTCACAACTCATGTAATGGCCCTGGTGTGGCACTGTGGGTTAAAGTGCCAGATTGCAAAGCTGTTTGAGCTGTGAGGTCGGCTGTTCAAGCTCACCAGCTGCTCCTCGGAAACCCTATAGAGGGTTGCTATGGGTCGGAACCAACTTGATGGCACTTCACAACAACAATGTAATGGCTAGAACTGTGGTTGCTTTGGAATAGCCAGACCAAATAATGTTGAGGCCTTATACAGCCCAGGTCTGACTTTCAGAACCCCTGCCTTAGAAACTGAATCAAAAACCACCTAGGGGTTTTATAAAAGGTAGATTCTGATTCCTCAGTGGTAAGAACCAGAGTGGACCAGTTTGGAGCCTTGAAAAGGAAGCCACCCAGGAAGTTTCTGATCCTTGGTGCTGGACTTCACTCAATTGTGATAACTACACTCCAGTGAGCTTTAATTCTAGTCCCAAAGAAAGCACAGTTGTTGTTCCTGTTAGTGCCCTCAAGTCAGTTCTGTCTCAGAGACCCAAGGAGCGGCTGATGGGTTTGAACCACCAACTTAGCTGTTAGCATTATTCTACAATGCCACATAAAAGCACAGTAGCTAAATTAAAAAAAAAAAAAAAATCCACAAATGCATTACATATCACAGAATACCAGAACTGGAAGGAATCATTTAACCATCCCTCTGAATGTATAGAGGAAAAACTAAGAACCAGAGATTTTAAGTTGACATGATTAGTTAATCAAATATCTAAAAGTCTTTCTATTAAACCATATTAATTCTAATACGGAAAACAAGAATGCAATCAATATCACAAATAGTTAAGTCTAACATCCAATCAATTCATTTTTCATTTGATTGACTTATCAATAATGGCTAAGAACAAAAAGGGTAACAATATGGTCTCAAATAAGCTAGACTTCATGATAACTCAAATAACATCCATGTCATATGGGTAGTCAGTCCTTCCCTCTCTCAAGACAGGTATCTAGGCAGAGGAATTTCAGCTTTGATATTGGGAACCACCACTAAGATTATAAGAAGTGAAAACTTAATCAGCTCTGAAAGTATGTCAATGGATTTTTTTCATTCATCAAAATGGTATTTACCAAACCTTTAAACATTAGCAACTGATGAATATTTAAATTTTCTATGGGAATGAGCTTCCCCATTTGAAAGGAGGATTTTTTTTTTTTTTAATGTCAAGAACTTTTTTAATGCAAATAGGAGGGTGAGTGAAAAATGATATGCACTCTGGCTGTAGAATTTATTTTTCTCAACTTTTAGAAAAGACAAATACATCACCTGTCAACAAGAATTCATATTCCCTTATTAAAAATGTTTTAGGCTGAGCTGTGAGCCAGTAATGCAACACTATCTTCACTTCTTCATCATAAATGAATCCTCATCCTAAAAGGCTGCTTTGAGAGGACGACACAGGTGAAAGTTCAATGAAGGAAAATCAGGACAATCAGGAGGATACTTTAACAGCTCAAAAGGAAGATTTTGCAGAATGTTAACAGTGTGGGCAGAAGTATGAGACGTACATTGACATGGCTAGCAGTCCTCTACATTTAATCCATATTTAGGCTTCAGATCTTCAGTGACCATCTCACTGAAATGAGCTCTGTTGATTGTTGAACTTTTTTCTTGATAGTGTCCCTATACTGGCCCATGAGAATCCCAGAAATCTGTAAGCATCAATATTCCAGCTGATGGTTGACTTTTGAACTTTTTCTTAATTGGCAATTTAAGATGTT